CCTCCCTCCTCCTCTCTCTCTCTCTCTCTCTCTCTCTCTCTCTCTCTCTCTGTCACGTCATTATTCTCGTTTTATTCATGTCTTGCTTTCTTTCGCGGTCGCTTTCGCTCTCGTTCTCTTTTGCGTGGCTCTTTTACAATCTCTCCTTCTTTTCTCATGTATATTTTTGCACACACATTCATCCCCCATAGATTGATACATTTTCTCCTTATTGTCGCTCTTGCGGTCGATGCTTCTCTCGAGCTTAAGATTTATCTCTCTATCGAGTAGATCGCCCTCGGCAAGGGAGGCGTTTCAGCATCGAAGGAGGGCAAAATACCCCGATCTGTCGGAATTTCGCACGGTTTTGATTTGAGAACCGTCATCGATCTTATCGCGGAGACACGTAGAGATATTCGGGGCCCCGAGATCCGATACCTTTTGTTTCGAGAGAATAGTGCTACCGCGCCGGCGATCGACACGATCGCAAATAAAAGCGAGACGAGCCTCGGGGATGAATCAGAATAAGGTCGCTGGATTAAATAATTAATTTCCTTATAATTTTTGGTGATACCATTTTATTTTATTTTCATCACCTTCTTCGCAAAATATTCTCGTTGAAAAAACGATGGGAAATACAATTTACATTGAGGACCAAGAGAATAAAAATCATTCTTGCTAATAATTTAATTTTTTGCCGACGAGAAACATTCGGTTTCCTATATTTATATTCTCCTTACATTCCACAATTTAACGACGCCTACGTCGATAGCAACTCATAATTAAATATGTTCTCAAACTCGGCGTTGACGTCGCGTGGGTAATTAATCTTCTCTCTGTCTTCACGGTAATATCTCCCTCGTGTACCGCACGAACGGTGTTTCTTTCTTTTTCTTTCTTTTTTCCTTCTTTATCGGAAAATCGTCGGACGATACGCGGCGGGATTGGACGGTATAACGCGGAAGAGATTATCCACGGAAAAGCACATTTGCATACTCGAAAATCGAGAAGCGGAGGTGTTACGCCAATGAGGCGTGGGTGTAGACGGCGGTCAGTAAAGTATTAAAGGACACGCGAGTCGCCTCGGGCTGCTCACGTACCCCGCCGCTCTCGCCTCGTGCACAAGATTAAAAAGCCCCATTGAGCATGATTCCCGAGAGAGATAGAGACACGAGTAAGCGCGCAGAAAACGTCCACCACGTTCGATCGAAGGGGTCGAGCCGATGGCTCGCGGGGTTCTCGCGGACGGAAAAATGTCCGCGTGACCGGAATAATGAAGCAGCAGCTTGAAATCGCTATTTTATCTTCATCTTCATATAATCGTAACTTTATATATCTTTTCTTTTTCGTACAGTGCCTCTCTTCTTCATACGTTTTCAAGTTTTATTATTAGAATTACTTTTTCTCCAGATTTTGTTTCGGAATATTTAAGAAGAATAGTCTGAAATTTTTTTCCTCTCACCTTCATAAGTTTATCTCTGATCTCCCAAGAAAATATCCCCGGATTGTCTCTCTTCAACTCCTCGATTCTCGCCTCGACTTCCGGCGTGGCCACTCGTGGTTTGCTGCCGCCGATTACGCCTGGACGGATGGATCCGGTTTCCTGATATCGGTTCAGAATCTTAGAGACGCATCCGTGCGAGACGCGAAGCTGCCTAGATATCACGCAAGGACGGACTCCCGCGGCGGCCATTTCTACGATTTTCAGACGGATGTGATTAGGGAGAGGTCGGCCGTTAATGAAGACCCCACCTAGCTGATTCATCCTTCCTTGCCCTGCAAAAAATTGCCCGGAAAGTTAATGGAATCCAAGAGGCGAGTATTATCAATCATAAAGTAAAAGAGACGCCGTTAAAAGTTTCTCAGCTCGATTTAATGAAAAATACACCCTAAATTTGTATTTATTTAAATTTCAAAGTGCATATTTCGACATGATGAGAAGTTAAGGAAATTTTTAAAACTCAAACAGGCGAAATCGTAAATACCAAACAGGCGGATGTTCATTTCCCTCGGCAAAAATTGCGAGAATATAATCGCACATGGTTCTCGTCGGAAAAACACGCGACAAGGGTAACAAACGGCGGAGGGAAAAGCCGCCTTCGTGTGCGACTTCGTAGGCGCAATTGCGGTGATTGAGCTTGAAATTAGCGGCGGAATCGCACCGGGGCGCAAACATGAACAATCAGATAACAGGATGGCGAGCACGCGGTCGGATGGCGAGCACACCAAAAACACGGCTAACAGCCGTAAAATTGAAGAAGTTATGCGCGCGAGGAGGCGTGCACCAGGCCGTTTCCAGCGACTAACGAGTATAAAGTCGGATCGTTAGTCGAATTAGCCACCCTACCGTACGTGACATTAGCTCCCGTATCATCAGGCCATCCCGGGTAAATGCGCGCGCGGCGCCGCATCGCGTAATTACTATGTTTACGCATTACGGATGCTCGATGTACACAGTAGCGGAGGAGAGAGAGAGAGAGAGAGAGAGAGAGAGAGGAGAGAGAGAGAGAGA